CTCTGAGGAATTTTGTGGCCCCTTGGCAGCGATGGGAGAGCGCCCATGTGGGATGTGCTGGGGGTTTTTGCCTCCTCTGCCCCTTCCTTTCCCTCTCCAAGCCCCGTTTGTGGCCCCGTGGCTCAGCCCAGGTGGAACTTGGCTCCCAGCTGGGCTGATTTGGCTTTCACGGGTGCTTTGTTGCTGTTAAAACAAGCCCCAGACTTCTCCCTCCCTTCCCTGCCTTCAGGTGGTTGCCTTTCATTAAGAGCTTTTTAATCTTTGATATTAACAGGAAAATAATTTCCTCGGCTCCCTCTCTGTTTTGCCAGCTCTGAGAGGCTTTTGAGCAGCTTTCGGAGCTGTTTGCTGGGGATGCAAATGCAAAATATATTTATTTTTGTATCTGTATTGAAATATCTGCTCCCAAATGAATTGATGTTGGGACTGCAGTAATTTTATTCCGTTGATTCCTTCATTTGATTAATTAAATTAATCTTGTGCTGATTACTTTGAAAGGTCTATTTTATTTATTATTTATCATTTATTATTTATCATTTATTATTTTTTATTTTTATTTTTTATTTTTTATTTTAATTTAATTTTTATTTATTTATTATTATTATAGAATTTTGTTTGGTTTGGGTTTTTAAATTTTTTTTTTTCCAGAATATTGGGAAATATCCCTCATGAAAGCTGGGAGAACTGAGGGGTTTTAAACAGGTTTTCAATGGTGTTTTTTACCCAAATTTTGAAGCACAAGGCAGCATTCTCTTTGTTTCTCATCCCAGCCTGGAATGAGGGGGGAATTCCTGGACTTCCCTGGGCTCTGAACATCACACCCAGCACAGTGCCAGAGGCTTCTCAGCTGGAAAAACCAGATTCCTGCAGTCCCACAGGGTTTAGTCAGGACAGGGAACCTGGGAACACCCTGGGGTGGCCGGGACAGGAGCTGAGCTTGGGTCTCATGCCCTGGAAAGGCTGACCTGGAACAGAGACTGGGCAGAGCTAAAGAATAAAGCAGGGATTTATTAAAAGGATCTCCTGCATGGGTCCACCTTGGGCAGCACAAGAGCCCAGCCAGGGCTGCACCCAAAATGAACCAAAATGGTCCCAAAATGAACCCAAAGTGAACCAAAGTGGTCCCAAAATGAACCCAGGATGAACCAAAATGGTCCCAAAATGAACCGAGGATGAACCAAAATGGTCTCAAAATGAACCCAAAGTGAACCAAAATGGTCACAAAACGAACCCAAAGTGAATGAAAATGGTCCCAAAATGAACCCAGGATGAACCAAAATGGTCCCAAAATGAACCCAGGATGAACCAAAATGGTCCCAAAATGAACCCAAAGTGAACCAAAATGGTCCCAAAATGGTCCTAAAACGAACCCAGGATGAACCAAAATGGTCACAAAATGAACCCAAAGTGAACCAAAATGGTCCCAAAATGAACCCAAGATGAACCAAAATGGTCCCAAAATGAACCCAAAGTGAACCAAAATGGTCCCAAAATGAACCCAAAGTGAACCAAAATGGTCACAAAATGAACCCAAAGTGAACCAAAATGGTCCCAAAATGAACCCAGGATGAACCAAAATGGTCCCAAAACGAACCCAAGATGAACCAAAATGGCCCCAAAATGAACCCAGGATGAACCAAAATGGTCCCAAAATGAACCCAAAGTGAACCAAAACGAACCCAAGATGAACCAAAATGGTCCCAAAACGAACCCAAAGTGAACCAAAATGGTCCCAAAATGCACCCAAGATGAACCAAAATGGTCACAAAATGAACCCAAAGTGAACCAAAATGGTCCCAAAATGAACCCAGGATGAACCAAAATGGTCCCAAAATGCACCCAAGATGAACCAAAATGGTCACAAAATGAATCCAGGATGAACCTAAATGGTCCCAAAATGAACCCAGGATGAACCAAAATGGTCCCAAAACGAACCCAGGATGAACCAAAATGGTCCCAAAATGAACCCAAGGTGAACCAAAATGGTCCCAAAATGAACCCAGGATGAACCAAAATGGTCACAAAATGAACCCAAGATGAACCAAAATGGTCACAAAATGGACCCAAAGTGAATGAAAGTGGTCCCAAAATGAACCCAGGATGAACCAAAATGAACCCAAAGTGAACCAAAATGGTCCCAAAATGAACCCAAGATGAACCAAAATGGTCCCAAAATGAACCCAGGATGAACCAAAATGAACCCAAAGTGAACCAAAATGGTCCCAAAATGAACCCAAAGTGAACCAAAATGGTCCCAAAATGAACCCAAGATGAACCAAAATGGTCCCAAAATGAACCCAGGATGAACCAAAATGAACCCAAGATGAACCAAAATGGTCCCAAAATGGACCCAAAGTGAATGAAAATGGTCCCAAAATGAACCCAAGGTGAACCAAAATGGTCACAAAACGAACCCAGGATGAACCAAAATGGTCCCAAAATGCACAACAGGCCATGGGTCTCTCACTTTTATAAGTTTTGGTCCATGAGCACATTGGAGTCCATGGTCCAATTCCAGGTTTGTGTTACCAAGTCCCACCCTGGTTTTGTCTCTTCAGCCCACCTTGTTTGTGTTCCTGTGTTGGTTGTCCTTGGTCCCCAGCTGGAGCAGGAATTGTTTTGTCTCCCTGCTCTGTGCCCAGAGCTCAGCATCCCCCAAAATGAAACCCAGACCCACACACTCAAGCAGCACAGAAACTGAAAAACACAAAATCTCAGACCTGAGGTATCATTTCCCCCACCCCAGGAACCGTTTTGACACCAAATCTGCCTTTTCCTACAGCAGGATCCTCTCCAGAGGGGAAAACGCTGCCTGCAGCCTCTCCCAGGGATTTTCCTGCTTCTCCCAGGCACAAGCAGGAGGAGGAGGATGGAGGAGGAGGATGCTGGTGGCAATCACCCATCCCTGGGGTCACATTTCCAGAAATGTGGCAGGGACAGCAAAGCCAGCAGCTCTGGAGTCACCCTGGCCTGGGTTTGGAGACCACAGGGGTTTAAAAATTAAATATTCCAGCGGTTTCCTGCCCCTCGGGAGCATCACACAGCAGAGGATGTCTGGCCCTGGCATTTTTCCATGGATTTTTCATCCTGGTGGAAGCTGAACAAGTTTCCTGCTGCCCTTTAAACTCTCTCCTGTGTGGAGAGAATGCAATCTTTGTTTAAAAAACCAATTTTTTTTTTATTAGGGAGGAAGCCATGGTTCATCTTACATAGGAAGATGAAAAATTGTAAAATTTTACATTTTTAAAAATGCTCCCATGAGTTTTGCTTCCTGAGCATCCCTGGGAGATCCCCATGCACCTTTTCCATTGGCAACCCCTTTTGGGCTGATATTGGCTCTGCAAAGGGTTTTTCTCAGCCTCTGGAGACTGAAAGAGGCTTCACATGAGACTAAAAATAGAATAAAAGTTTTTAAAGTGTCACTCTCATCTGGGCTTGGGGGGGAAAAAAAATCCCTGTTCTGAGTTCATCCCATTTTGGGTTCTTGGTGCTGTTTGGGGACCTCTGCAGAGGGTTAACAAAAAAAAAAAAAACCTAAAACACTGCAAAGGGTCTGGAGAGGATCCTGAGGGAGACCTGGGGCCATGGAGCTGCTCCAGGGCTGGAGCCCCTCTGGATCCTGGGAGAGCTGGGGGTGTTCAGAGGGGAAGGGAAGGATCCAGGGAGAGCTTCCAGCACATTCCAGGGCCTGAAGGGGCTCCAGGAGAGCTGGAGAGGGACTGGGGACAAGGGATGGAGGGACAGGACACAGGGAATGGCTCCAAACTGGGAAAGAGGAGATTTGGGTGGGATATTGGGAAGGAATGAGGGTGGGATGGAATTCCCAGGGAGCTGTGGCTGCCCCTGGATCCCTGAAGGGTTCAAGGTGAGTTTGGAGCACCCTGGGGCAGTGGGAGGTGTCCCTGCCATGACAGGGGTGGCTCTGGATGGGATTTGAATCCCTTCCAACCCAAACCATTCCATGATTTTCTGACACCTGGGAGCTGAGTTTGCACAGACAGGACATGGGAACTCTTCACCCACTACATGCAGGTTACCTGAGCAGTTTCTCACCTGGAAAAGGAACCAAAAATGCTGGAATTCTGCCAGGGAAGCCAGGGAATGGCTTCCACTGACAGAGGGCAGGGATGGATGGGATTTGGGGTTGGAATTCCCAGGGAGCCGTGGCTGCCCCTGGATCCCTGAAGGGTCCAAGGTGAGTTTGGAGCACCCTGGGGCAGTGGGAGGTGTCCCTGCTCTGGGATTTCCATCCCAAACCATTCCATGTTTTGCCAGGAGTTCCTTGCCCACATCTCCACCTCTCCCGGTGCCCTGCCCTGCCTCTTGCTCAGCTTCCATCCACGTCCCCATTTCTCCAAGGAAATTCTGCCTTCCTCACCATTCCATGACCACATTTCTGGGCATTTTCTGCTGATCACCAGCTTTGCCCGGTACTGGACACCCCGAATTTTCACCCCCCCCCCATCCATGTGAGGATGCAAACCCCAAACCTGACTCAGCCCGGCATTCCTGGGAAAAGCCTGACTCACGTGAGCCCATTTGCCGGCTCAGGGCTTTAATTACGGGCTGTGCCCATCTCGGCAGCGTGGGAACGGGACCCATTAAGCCCCTAAAAGCTCCCGATCATTCCCAATCCATTAATGTTCCTAATTAGTTAAACCCGGCCGCCTCTCTCCCCTCGCCGGGCTCGCTCGTGTTCTCCGAGCGTGCAGCCACAGCTCCATTATGTAACGATCCCCTCGCTGCTGGAATCCCAACTCACACCGGGCTCTTCCCCACTATTATTTTATTTCATTTACTCGCATGTGCCTCTTCCCCGGAGCCCATCAGGCAATGGGCGAGCCGGGCAGACCCGAGTGGGGCTCGCAGCGCTCCTGACCAGCCCGAGGAGCTGCGGGGGCGGTTGGGGGGCAGCGCCCGGGGGTTGGGGCAGCGCCCGGGGCCGTTCGGGGCCGTTGGGGCGGTTGCCGGGGGTTAAAAGCCGTTGGCAGAGCCGGAGCAGCTGCCTGCCCCTTCCCTGGGCTTTGACTTTCGTTCCCGGTCCCTGTGTCCCTTCCTGCCAAGGAAACCATCTCCACGGCAACCTCAAACCTCCGGGCTGTGCCTCGGAGCTGCTCTGCCGTCCCCAGGACCCCGGTAAGTGGCTCTCTGGTGGCCCGGGGCTGCGAGGTTTGGCTGCTGGGCTCGGCAGGGGGGTGCGGGACCCGACCCCCGTGTCCCCTTGTCCCCGTGTCCCCTTCGAGGTTTAAAAAGGGGCGGCCAGAAGGTGGGAAAAGCGCTGGAGGGGGTGGCTGGGTCAGCCTAGGGTTGGGGACATGTCCTGCTGTCCTGGCTGGGTGTGTGTCCTCGCGCGGACCGCAGCCAGCCCTGATCCCGATTTTCCGTGGGGTTTGGGAGAGCAGCAGGTGGGGATGGGGATTCTGTCCCCTCTTGGTGTCCCCGGGATGGCTGCGGTGTCACCACGTGGGGACATTCCCGGGGCCACGTGGAGGGGAACAAGCGCCAGCCCTGTGGGAAAGGCTCCTCCGAGCTGGGCTGGGCTCGGGATTGCCTGGAAAAATCAATTTCTCCTGGAAAAGAAGAGCAGGAAAAGGAGTTCTGGAATAAATGGGATTCAAGTTGTGGAGCTGCAGGAGGAAATGATGGACAAGTGTCGGATTAGGTTCTTTTTTGACTCCGAGATGGGGTAACTGAGAGGTTTGCATCTGTTTGTGTGAAAAATGCCAATCCCTTGTTTTTAGAATTTTAAAAGTTTAATAGTAATAAAATGGTTATTAAAATAGCAATATAATTAGAGTAATAAAAATTTGGACAATTTGGATTGGGACAATACAAGACAATAAAAGCAAAGAGTTACAGACAGTCCGGGTACCTCTTTCTGGGCAAAATAAACCCGAAAAAGGCCCCACGTTAACAGAGGATTAACCCTTTAAAACAACAGCCTGTTGCATATTCATCCATGATGCATAAATTCCATTCAAACAAAGGATTCCGTCTGGGCAGTGTCAGCTTCTTCCTCTGAATCCTGATGGCTCTTCAGGGCTGAGCAAGGTGGGAAGAAGTTCATTTCTTCTGATAATGGAGCAATGAATTCTCTTTCTCTGAAAGATTCAGGTGTCCTGTGCCTGCTATCTGGTGCAGGTACCTCCATTCCTCTCTTTAAAAAATATCCCACATACATAGTTTCTGTTTTAACTACAAAAGTTCTATTTTAACTACAAAACTACATTTGCCATCCTATTAAAATGTTAATACAGCACTACTAATCAATACAACATAATACATATAGTAAATATCTGCTTAGGGCCATATAATATGCACTTTTCACAGCTTGCAAGCCTTGAGATAAGAAACTTAGAAATACCATAGAATAGGACAGACTTTGTTGAGAAATATAACTAGAAATAAGTTTCAAGGATGGCCTCACAAATAAAACTAAATACTTTAGAGAAATAGAACTGTGAAAGATGCATTATAGTAAAAGCCACAAGGAGTAATTCTAGATAATGAACTTGAAAGCATTTACAGTATGGCATGGCAAAAGCTGATAGGCCAAAAAATGTATTGTAATATATGTATTGTATATACGTATCTTGCATATCTATGTATTATGTATGTTATATATATTATATATATGTTATAATATATATAACATATATAATACATATGTTATATATTATATATATTATATACATAATATACAATATAGTATATTATATATTATATTTTCATTATTTTATTATATTATTAAATATATTATATTATATTATGTATTTCTATATTATTATATATTACAATTATTAGAATAATATTATAATTTTATTATTTTATATATATTGTATATTTTTATATTTATATATATAGTATGTTTTAATTGTGATTAAAAAATCGTTGGCTTCTGATTGTAATGGTGTGAGTTATAACAATTGAATATATATCATATATAAAAAATAATATATATTATAGCTATATAATATGTATGAATATATAATATAAATATACAAATAAAATGTATGTAGAAATTGAATTATATCTGTATTGCCTCACCCTTCACATGACACTACAAACAGAATAAAAGGTTTTGAAGTGTCTCTCAGTTACCCCATCTCTAAATCAAAGCAGGACCTGATCCTACAGACCAGGGCTGGGCTGGGGCTGGTTTGGGCTGGGGGTGCTGGCTCCCCCGGGGCTGACCCTGCTGTCCCCATGTCCCCAGGGCAGGATGAAGCTGCTGGGGGCCGTGCTGGTGGCGCTGTCCCTGCTCCTGCCGGGCGCCTGGGCCAGCGAGGCCTCCCGGACCTGCATCTTCCAGACCCTCAGCGAGTCCGACCACGAGTTCTGCAGGTGAGCCACACTCCGGGGCCTCTGTCACTGCCATTCCCTTTGTGTCACCTCCTACCCGGCCTGGCCTGGCCTCTGTCCCCAGCCTGGCCATTCCCTTTGTGTCACCTCCTACCCAGCCTGGCCTGGCCTCTGTCACTGCCCAACCCGGCCATTCCCTTTGTGTCACCTCCTTCCTGGCCTGGCCTCCGTCCCCAGCCTGGCCCCGGCCTGGCCTCTGTCCCCGGCCATTCCCTTTGTGTCACCTCCTACCCAGCCTGGCCTGGCCTCTGTCCCCAGCCTGGCCATTCCCTTTGTGTCACCTCCTACCCAGCCTGGCCTGGCCTCTGTCACTGCCCAACCTGGCCATTCCCTTTGTGTCACCTCCTGCCTGGCCTCTGTCTCCTGCCTGTCCCTGGCCTGGCCTGGCCTCTGTCACTGCCCAACCCGGCCATTCCCTTTGTGTCACCTCCTACCTGGCCTGGCCTCTGTCCCCAGCTTGGCCATTCCCTTTGTGTCACCTCCTACCCAGCCTGGCCTGGCCTCTGTCACCTGCCCAACCTGACCATTCCCTTTGTGTCACCTCCTACCCAGCCTGGCCTGGCCTCTGTCACTGCCATTCCCTTTGTGTCACCTCCTACCCGGCCTGGCCTGGCCTGGCCTCTGTCACTGCCCAACCTGACCATTCCCTTTGTGTCACCTCCTGCCTGGCCTCTGTCCCCTGCCTCTCCACGGCCTGGCCTCTGTCCCCAGCTTGGCCATTCCCTTTGTGTCACCTCCTATCCGGCCTGGCCTGGCCTGGCCTCTGTCCCCAGCCTGGCCATTCCCTCTGTGTCACCTCCTGCCTGGCCTCTGTCCCCGGCCTGGCCTGGCCTCTGTCACCTGCCCAGCCTGGCCATTCCCTTTGTGTCACCTCCTACCCAGCCTCTGTCCCCTGCCTGTCCCCAGCCTGGCCTGGCCTCTGTCACTTGCCCAGCTTGGCCATTCCCTCTGTGTCACCTCCTACCCAGCCTGGCCTCTGTCCCCAGCCTGGCCATTCCCTTTGTGTCACCTCCTCCCCAGCCCAGCCATTCCCTTCGTGTCACCTCCTGGCACAGTTCATCCCAGTGTCCCCTTGCTGTGAGTTTTGGCTGTTTTCCTCCTTTTCCTCCTTTCCTCCTTTTCCCTGGGTCTGGCATTCTCTGGGGTTGTTCCCCAGCTGTGCAGAGGCTCTGGAAGTGGCTTTGGCAGCAGCAGGGATGTCAGAAGTTTTCCATGGAAAGCTTCAGAGGAAGGAGGCTGCTTTTGCATGGAATGCTGGAATGCTTTGGGTGGGAAGGGGTCCTAAAACCCATCCAGCTCCAACCTCAACTATCCCAGGCCCTAAAACCCATCCAGCTCCAGCTCCAACTATCCCAGGCCTTAAAACTCATCCAGCTCCAACTATGCCAGGCTCTAAAACCCATCCAACTCCAGCTCCAACTATGCCAGGCCCTAAAACCCATCCAGCTCCAACCTCAACTATCCCAGGCCCTAAAACCCATCCAGCTCCAACTATGCCAGGCCCTAAAACCCATCCAGCTCCAACCCCAACTATCCCAGGCCCTAAAACCCATCCAGCTCCAACCCCAACTATGCCAGGCCCTAAAACCCATCCAGCTCCAACCCCAACTATCCCAGGCCCTAAAACCCATCCAGCTCCAACTATCCCAGCCCTTAAAACCTATCCAGCTCCAACCCCAACTATCCCAGGCCTTAAAACCCATCCAGCTCCAACCCCAACTATCCCAGGCCCTAAAACCCATCCAGCTCCAACCCCAACTATCCCAGGCCCTGAAACCCATCCAGCTCCAACCCCAACTATCCCAGGCCCTAAAACCCATCCAGCTCCAACCCCAGCTATCCCAGGCTGATCCAAGCTGGCCTTGGACACTTCCAGGGGTGAGGCAGCCACAGCTCCTCTGGGGATCCCATCCCAGCCCCTCCCCACCCTCCCAGGGAGGAATTCCTTCCCAAAATCTCCTGAAGAGCACACCAGGAGCACAGGAATTCAAATGTTCTTCAGCAGATTTAGGGAAGGAATTTCTAATTATAATCATTTATAATAGTTCATAATAATTCCCGTTCTCCCACCCTTTCACCCTGCTGGCATTCCCAACCCCATCCCAAGCCTGCCCTGGCACCCATTCCCACCTCCAGGCTCATTTTGCTCCCTGTCCCCTTTTTCCAGGGGGGATTTGGAAATCATCTACCCCGAGGTGGGCGACGTGAGCTGCTCCTACATCCCCAAGTGCCACGGCTACCGCCAGAAGCTCAGCGAGGAGTGGGGCAAGCCCCGCGTCCGCTACCCCTGGGCCAAGAAGGTGAGGCCCCATTCTGCTTTTCCTGGGCTCAGGGGGACTTTAGGAGCTTTTTTCCCACTTTTCTTCATTGATTCAGGTGTTTGGTTGGAGGCTGTGGATAAATGGAATTGCCTTTTTTTGTGATTTTTTTGTAATTTATTTTTAATTTTTTTTCCTACACTGTGGCCATTAAATTACCTTTTCTCACATTCAGACTTTTTTTACTACACTGAAAAAACTTTTATATTTTTATATTTATAGTTCATATTATACTTTATTATTTGTATACTCTATTTTATTTCTATTTTATTTCTATTTTATTTCTATTTTATTTCTATTTTATTTCTATTTTATTTCTATGTATTTTATTTCTATTTTATAATTTTTATATTTCATAATGTTTATCTATTTCTTACTTTTATATATTTTTATATTTTTGCATTTCTGTTTTTAATTTTATATTTTATATTTTTTCCTTTGGCCATTTACTAAATAATTTTCTTTTCGTACATCATACCCATTTTCCAGCTATTCCAGCCACGTTGTAGCCATTTAATGAATTCTTTTCACCATATCACCACATTTCAATTTAGAATATTTGCTGCATTGTAACCATTATTTCTCCTATAAATGCAGTAATTTATAATTTCCCCTACATTCACTTTTAAAACAATTAATTAAATTTTAATATACTGTGACCATTTAAGTGGCCAGAGCATAGCAAAGCAATTAAGTTATTTTTTCCTGCTACATGTGGCTACTTCATAATTTAATTTTTTGCTATTTGTGGCCTCCTAATGATTTAATTTTGTGCTCCATCACGGCTATTTTTAAAAAGGAATTAAATGGCCACAATGTAGGAAAAATAGGAATTAAGTGGCCAGAAGTAGAGAAAAATTTAATTAATTTAATATCTATGTTGTGGCTACTGAATATTTATAATTTTTGCTACATTTTGGCCATTTCAATTTAGTTTCCTCTACTTTGACCATTTAATTTTTGGTATATTCTGACCACTGGATTTTTTTTGCAGTCCATTGTGGCAGTTTCATTTTGTTGCCACAACTCAGCCAAAAAAAAACCAAAAAAAACCAAACCAAAACAAAAAAAAAACCCAAAAAATTCAATCTGAAATTTTCCACCGCGGATTTTAATTTTACAAATTTTTTTTAGTCAACTTTTCAAAGCCCTCCTGGCTTCGGGGTGGGATTTGGGATCCACGATGGGATTTGGTATCGCGGGTGGGATTTGGGATTTGGGATTTGACATGGAATTTGGGATCCGCGATGGGATTTGACATGGAATTTGGGATCGGCGATGAGATTTTGGATTTGGGATGGGATCGGCGATGGGATTTGGGATTTGCGATGGGATCGGCGTTGGAATTTGGGATTTGGGATCGCGGGTAGGGGGGGAATCCCGGTGCTGCTGTTCGCTCTCGCCACCACCAGGTGGCAGCATTGAACTGCCCGAGCTCCAGCGCCGCCCGGACTGGGAGGAACTGGGATGAACTGGGAGCGCCGGGATCTGTGCTGAGCGTGCCGCGGGCACTGGGAGGGGACAATAAATGGGGTGACTATGGGGTATTTTAGGGGACACCCCGCGCCGTGCCCTGCTGTGATCCCAAATCCGTCCCAGGATGCAGCATCGTCTCGTAGCGTTCCCAAATCCCAGTGGAGTCCTCGCTGGCACCCCAAAACCCGCCCTATCCCAATAATTTCTGTAATTCCCATGGCCAGCTCCAGCCCTGGGAGCTGCTCAGGGAGAAGTCAGCTCTGCTGGCGTTACCTCGGAGTGTGAACAATCCGTTTTTCCGGCTCTTCCCCCCCAGTCTGGGAAGTCTCTTCCCCCTGCGGATCACATGGTTGGAAGGAGAACTTTTCCCTAAAGATGTCTGATTCTCCAAAAAAACCCAAAACAAAACAAAAATCCCCCTTCCTGGCAGTGGCTGCTGCACGCAGACCCATCCCCGGCTTTCCAGGAGTTTGAAGTTTCCCAGGCATGGATGTGGGCAGTTGTTTTTCCTTTAATTTTACTCCTGGAAAGCAAAGCAGGGCCGGGAGAAGGGAGGGGACTCTCCGGGGATGGAACGCGGCTGCCGGCGGCTGTGGGAAGGATTTTGGGGAGCAGAGCCAGACCCTGCCAGGCTGTGCCAGTGGGATGCGGGCTGAGCGTCCCAGAATCCACAAAAAGCAGGGAAGGCTGAGCCGGGAGCTCGGGGGTGGCACCTGTTTATTTCGGGATGGAATTCCAGCTGTGCCTCGGGGGTGGCAGGTCCCCAGGGAGCCCCTGGCACGGGCGGCGGCTCCCGCTGGCACCGGGAGCGGCTCCGCTGAGGATTTGGCACCGTTTCCTTCCGAGACATCTCGGCACATCTTGCGCTGAGGCGGCATCTGAGGACACGGGGCCCCGCTGCCTCCCGAGCTTTGGGGTGGGTTTCTCCTCTGGCCTTCCCCAAAAATGCCTCCCCAGCTTTGCACAGCTGGGAATGATCCAGCTGCTGTGCCCAGAGTTCATTCTGCACGACCTTAAACCTCCTCAGTTTTGGTTTTTTTCTAATAGGAATATACAATTTTTTTACTCCTGAACCCCTAAGGATGCTTTGGGATAATCTTTTTCCCTCTTAAGCTCACCCTAAATTGAGTGGGAACAAGAGCTTGTGGCATGAGAGTTGTTTTTATGCTTTATGTGGGTATTTCTAAACCCAGGAAATTTGATTATTCCTAATTTATTCCCAAATGGGAGTGGGAAAATTTGGCAAAACGAGGAGATCTCCATCTCCCTGTGGTGCTCCAGTGGGATGCTCCAGCTCAGTGATCCTGGATGGGGTGGGGAGGGCTGGCTGAAGGGCTGGAGATGCTTTTCCCATCCAAATCCGTGGCAGAAAATCTCGGGGTTTGAGGATGCAAACTTGTGTAGGAAGTGTCGGCTCTCTGTGGAACACTTTGTCTCTTCAAGAAAAACAACCACCAAAAAAGCCAAATGCGGAGTGTTTGTTTTTCTCTCTAGAAATATTTATCAGTTTTCTGAAAGGGGGGGGGGGGAATGGGAGGTTTCCCATTCTTGTCCCAGATATTTGGGATGTGTTTGGGGTCACCTTTGTGCCCAAGGTCTGTCCCTGCAGCTCCTCAGGGAAGGGAACATCGATGGTTTGGGGTGAGGAGCTGGAAGTGGGGTGGCATCTTGCAAATTTGAGCTCTGACGACAGCAAAATCTGGCCTGGGGGACTTCAATGCATCACTTTAGGGTGGATTTGAATATTTTGTCATGTTTAAACACTGAGCTGTCAAACCCAGCTTTATCAAACATCAATTTACTGCCCAAAAAAAACCATTTTGGGGCAATTTTTAGTGCCATGAGGGCACCTGTTGTGTGTGGGGGCATCTCAGTGAGCAATAGGCTCAGGGAAGGGAGTCAGGGATGCACTGCCAGGGACAGGAGAGGGGTTCTGGATTGATGGAGACCCTGGAAAACCTTGAACTGCCCTGTCCTGGTGGGCAAAGATCTGGGAATATCTCAGTCCATGGGAGATCAGCTCTGGAATGTTGAGGATGTTCAGTCCATGGGAGATCACCCCTGGGATGTTGAGGATGTTCAATCTGTGGGAGATCAGCCCTGGGATGTTCAGGATGTTTGATCAGTGGGAGATCAGCCCTGGGATGTTCAGGATGTTTGATCAGTGGGAGATCAGCCCTGGCGTGTTTGGGATATTCAATCCATGGGAGATCAGCCCTGGGATGTTCAGGATGCTGAATCCATGGAAGATGCAACCCTCAGATGTTTGGGATGTTCAATCCATGGGAGATGCAACCCTGGGATGTTCAATCCATGGGAGATGCAACCCTGGGATGTTCAGTCCATGGAAAATGCAGCCTTGGGATGTTGAGGATGTTCAGTCCATGGGAGAGATCAGCTCTGGGATGTTCAGGATGTTTGATCAGTGGGAGATCAGCTCTGGAATGTTCAGGATGTTTGATCTGTGGGAGAACAGCCCTGGTGTGTTTGGGATGTTCAATCCATGGGAGATCAGCCCTGGGATGTTCAGGATACTGAATCTATGGGAGATGCAACCCTCAGATGTTTGGGATGTTCAGTCCATGGGAGATGCAACCCTGGGATGTTCAATCCATGGGAGATCAGCTCTGGGATGTTCAGGATGTTCAATCCATGGAAGATCAGCCCTGGAATGTTCAGGATACTGAATCCATGGGAGATGCAACCCTCAGATGTTCTGGATGTTCAATCTGTGGGAGATCAGCCCTGAGTTGTTTAGAATGTTTGATCCATGGGAGATGCAACCCTGGGATGTTCAATCCATGGGAGATCAGGCCTGGAATGTCCAATCCTCACTGCAAAACTCTCCTGAGCACATCCCAATCCCCCTTTGGGTCCCACTGCACAGACCTGACCTCCAAACCCCAAACACTCCAGTACCCAGAGCACCTTCCCAAAACCCCCAACCCGGGAGCTGCTGGGGGCCCTTTCCCAGCCCAGGGAAGCAGGAGAACATCTGGGAGGACGGGAAACGCGGCCTCCTTGTCCTGCCTCGATATTGCTTTGCTCAAGCAAAAATAAATTGGAAAAGAAAATTGGCCCTTGCAGCAATTTGGGGCAGTTTCTCGATTGTGCAGCGTGGCAAAGCCCCCGACGGTGATGGATCGCTGCATTAACCCAAAGCTGCGTCCCCTGATTCCCTTTTATTACCACTCATGGTGGCAGACAGAAAAACAGATTACACTGGAGATCAAATCGATAGGAACTTTATTTACTGGCCTTTTAAAAACATATTTCTGGGCTTTATAAAAACATACGGCAGATGCCAGGGATGGGCCTTGTCTCCTTGTTAAAAAGCAATTTACCTGTGCTGGAGCTGCTACCTTTTACCTGCTCCTCCAGATTTGTTTTCATCCCAAGCTTTGACAACTTCCTTAGAGGCTTCTTTAGGCCGTGCCATCACTTTTTTAGGATACAGGAAGGAATTGGATTTTTTTTTTTTTTTCACAAATCTAGAAATAAAGTGT